GGTTTCAATTTCCAGGTAAATATATGTGACTATAATAATGGAGGCTTAATTGACTTATGGTTGATAGAAAATAATCCCAATTTCCTAAGTTATTAATAATATAATCTTGTGTGTTTCATACGCTGGAGTGTTTAAGTCTTACCATGGAGAATATTTTTTTGGCTCGAGGTATATGTTTGTTTGCAGTTTCACTTCAACTTCAGCTGTCATTGGATATTCTTGTGCTTTCAAGTTGCCCCACATTTGGCGTATTTCTTTTAGATAGCATAAGCCCTATGATTATTCCTCTCAAAGTATTTGAAGCATACTATACACTAAAAAAGAAGGGTGTCGACTCATGGTATTTTGGTAGTCAATGAAAGTGTATTTTGGTAGTCAATGAAAGTGATTTATATCTCATTAGAATAATTCTAAATTCCCTTACCTTTTTTCCCCCAAATTCTCCTAATTACTAAATAAAGAAATTATTAAATTTTTTTCATATTTTCAAAATAATAAATATATACACTTTTTTCATTTAATATTTAATTTATTCAAAACTACAAAAATTATAGGGGTTCTATTCTTTTTTACTCCTAATTTAATATTTCTTTATTATATTTTTATAATTTTTTAATAAATTTTAACTAATAATTAAGAGTGTGTTAGAGAGTATTCATAACACTACTCAACATGAGAATGTACGTAGAGATATAGCAATTTTTTTTGTTAGTCTCATATGAGAACTAATGTAGTGCTTGACCCAACTTTTTTAAGGTTCTTTTTTCCTCAAAGATAGAATATCTCTAATTAGTTTCTATAACTTTCTTTTTGTTCATTAAAAAATTGCTTTTTTCATTTTTTGGAGCTTTTCTAAAATTTGTTTAGCTTGACTCCTCCTTTGAAGGAAAAGGCTAAAAGAAACTAGGTTAGTAGTTTTCTGTAGGGTCAATGTATTGCTGGCAATTAAATGAAATTTTAAGTGGCCTTCATTTAATGGGAAAAGAATTATAAAGTAATTTATAGTGAAAAAGAAAATATTATATTCCATTTAATAATAAATATGATATTAATGCTTTAGTATCTATATAAAAGCATTAGAAATGTAGCATAATTTGAGGGTCCAGTTTTTCCTAGAACCACTGGCTCATTCACTTTTGTATAAAAAGAAAATAACTTTATGACTAATTGATTGATGCTATACTCAAGGCTCAGAGCTTCGTCCATTTTCCTTTGTTTTGTTTACAGAATGCTTGGTCGGGAGGATTTATTGCAGGAACCACTATTGGTGGATTAGCACTTAGCCCTTATCCAGGTTCAAAGTGAACGCAAATTTGCAAGGTTATTGGTGGATAGTAGAGTAGTTGCATGCTTTTGTTGGGCAACGTGGTCTTTCTTTTTTCTGGGGTGTCAAGGAGGACAAGTAGTAGTAGTGTACTACAATGATCTCATTCATTTTGGATGCACCTTTTTTTTTCCTTTTTCTGATTATACACATAGTTTAATGGATGATACTTTAATAGACAATGAGTTGTTTAAAGTAACTTAAAAGAAAAGGGAATTGTCTTTAAACAACTAGTGGCATCCTCCTTATCCTACTTTACATTTTTTAAAATTTTTTATTAAGATTCTTTGCACCCTTTAAGTTAAACACTCATATTAATAATTAATATATGTAAGATTGATCATGCCACATTAAAATGAATTTACTTTAAAAATGCATGTACACATTAAATTGTATTTTTAAGTTTAATATTATTGGGGCATGATGGTGGAGATTGCAATGATATTTTAGGATATAGATTTTCTATAGTTTTGGAAGGAACTGTAGCATGCAGTTTATATTCACTCAAGCGAAACAAAATTTGCATAGGCAAATTTAGTAAAAAACTTATTTTCACTCAAGTTAGGAAAATTAGCTAAAGCAAAAATAAAAAATTTCGCTTAAGGCAGGAAAAGTGTTGAAAAAATTAGAAAAAAAAAGAGAGAAAGAGAGGCTGAAAAGGAGATGAGGGCAAGAGCATAAGGAAGTTAAGAGGGAAAAGGGAAGAAGGGGAGAGAGATGAGTAGGGGTGAAAGGGAGGGAAGGAGATTAGGTGGGGTGAAGGAAGAAGAGATGGAGAAGGAAGGGAGGTTGGATAAGGGTGAAGGGGAGGAGATGGGTGGGATAGGAGGAGATGGGAAAAGGGTGGGGGAGAAGAAAGAGCACTCAAGAGATCCGTTTTCGATATTTTGATACTTAAATAAATTTGGAAGTGAAAAGAAGATTTACTGTCGGTAAAAAATGAAATTGTTAAACTTAATTAAAAAGTATATCTAATCTTTGTAAAATATTTTATAATAAGAAGAATTGGTTTTGAAATTTAGATAAATGATTACTTATTTATAATGATATATTCTTTTATTAATTAAATTCTAATTTATTTTGAATATAGATGAATATTAAAACCTTTAAATTTGAACTTAATTTTTTAAAATAGAGAAAATATAACTCAAATTCAATAAGAGTGAGTTTTTTTCTTAAATTTAAGTTGGGGTGAGACTCGTTGACTATCACTGTCATTCTTAGAAGTTATTCTTACAAAAGAGAATATTATGACAATGTGAAGTTGTTTTAGATTTAGTTATATGTTTGATTATAATAATTGTAGATCAAATAAAATATCTATTTAACTACATAAATTTCTTAATTTATATTTAAACTCTTCAAAATGTGTTTAGAATGTATTATAACATGTTATAATTAAGTTTCATAATTACGAATTATTTGTGAGTTATATATTTTTTTTTCTTATTTATTATAGTTATTATATCATTATTAAGTATATATGACTCATTCTTACTCAAATTTATTTTTTTAGTTGAATAACAAATTATGGAGAGTTACGATTTATCCTAGTAGAGTACTCAAATAGTATGTATTGTTGTTTTGGTTATAGAAAAATTTAGGTGGATTTAGTTTTGAAGGACTCCTATGCCTGAGTTACTTATAAATTGTTTACAAAACAATTTAGGTGAATTAGATCTTAAAGAATTATTAGGATTAAGACAAATAATGCTTATAAAAATTCATGAAGAATGTTAGTAATATATTTTATAACATACTATTTTTTAATGTATTTTTAATTATTAGCTAAAATTTTTAAAAATTAAAAAAATTATATGTCTAATTCATTTTCTTTTATACTTTTATAATTTTAAATAAATTTTATTGAATAATCAATAATATATTAATAAGTGTGTTAGAGGGTATATTTTTTTAAAATATACTTGTAGATTGTTCCCTATCAAAATTCTCAAATCTAAACTTATGTCTTTGTTGAATATAAATTTCATCGATTTCAACTTGACTAAGAGTGAATATTTATATATAATACCGAATTAAATATTATATTATTCTTAAAAATTTTTTTGTCTGTAACTCAATTTTTGGTTTTAATAATCTTACTTTAAAAAAATTCGTTCAAACAAAAATATTTTAATTGATAATGACAAATTTCTTATACCAAACATCACCTAAAATTTTTAACGTGACGCACTACTTCATCTGAATTATTGTAAAATATTGCTTGTTAAATATGTTATTTACATTGTTAGTTATTTTTTCAGGTAGAATTTTGTATGCACGGAATTAAAATCAAGAACGTTGACTGATATAGTAATTTTACTCAGTTAAGATATATTAAGTTCATATAATATTACTACTATTAAGTGCATTGTTCACATTTTGTATTATTCAGCTTTTTAATCAAAACTACGTACGTATTATATTGAAAGTATATTCTATAAGCAATCTTAAACAAGTCAATTAAAGTATAAAATAGTCATATACATTACTTCATCATAAATTAAATAAAAGATCGTCTAAAATCCTAACATGCTATTTTTTTAAAAATAATTGAACAGAAATACTATTAGAGTATTAAAAAGTTGACAAGATTGTGCATTTAAAATGACAAGAAAACAAAAAAGCAAATGGGATGAAAGTACTGGGAAACACCTAGGCTGGAGTCAATGATGTCATTTGTGGGGACCTCTGATACCAGACATCTAATATTTGGTGCTGAACGTAGCATGTTTCATTCCACTTAATTATCTCCTTAATTAACAGCACAAAATTTAAATATAAGATAATAAATATTTTTAGTGTTATTTTTCAATAATTTATGACAACTTTAAATATTATTTTTTATTACATATATTATTGGAATAAAAACTTTGATATTAAATATAAACAACGTTAAATAGATCTAAAAATTAGACTTAAATTTTGTCCTAACTAAGATTAGGCTTGAAGGTTATCCACAAGAAACATTCCTTAACCTATATTACAACTATAGTCACCAGTCTCATTTCTGAGACAGTGACGCAGAAGTGAAACGCAAACGTAAAAGTTGGGCTCACTTGGATGGTTCCTAATATGGAGAATCAGACCCAAAATCCAGTTCAATTTGTGAACCTTTTCCCACGCTTCTCACTAGTCTACTCCCGGGAAAAAGTTTTCCACCCTTCTTTCTATTGCATATTCCAGAATCCCAAAATGTCCATTTCCTTAACAAATCAACAAGAGTGACGCTTTCTTGTTCCCACAATAATTTTAATTTCTTATTCCTCTTAAAAATTCTAAACAATCTTCTTCTCATTTTTTAGAGTAAGAATTAAACTAAAAAAATATGTTTATTATATTAAAAATTGCAAAAAATAATTTATCGAGAACGAATTTAAAATTATTATTATTTTTTTATTTTTGCAAAGCATTTAGACACGAGGCGTAAATAAATGTCTTAAGTGGCGGTTATATATAGCGGGCACAGCGTTTGATCTTCCGTTTTCCCTTCTTTTTCTCCGAGTCTCTTTCTTGGCCCTGTTGTTGTGGTTGCTTTAAGACTCGGTTTTTCACTGTCTGAACTAATTTTAATTCATTCATAACAGTGGCAATCTTCTTTAACACTCAATAGTTTCCGTCATTTACTTGGTTCTCACGTGTGCATTTTCTCTCTCCCGAATACACGGGGATTCAGTTCCGTTAATGTTTTTTCACGTTCGCGCCATTGAAGTGGTTGAATCGCAGCGCTTAGGAGATGGCGGTGGCGGAGAAGATCAAGATAGGCGTTTGCGTTATGGAAAAGAAGGTGAAATGTGGCCCCGAGGTTCACTCTTTCTTTGCGCTTTATCGTTCTCAACAAATTTTTTTTCTTCCTTTTTTTGTTTTGCGTTTTCGTGGTTCAGTAACGCGGTGAGTTGGAACTCGCAGGAATGCGTGCGGTTCCTTGACTCTGTTTTTCTGTTCTCATTTCTTTTTATTCTATTTTGCAGGTTTTCTCCGCGCCTATGGGCCAGATTTTTGACAGGTTACAAGCGTTTGGTGAATTCGAGGTATGTGTTTTCCGTGGTTTGGTTTTTCGCTGTTGATTTCGATTTTTGCTTGTTCGTGAAGTTACTGGTAACGGCGACGTTTGGATCGTTAGATTTCTTTTGCAATGCTTATGAGTATTGTATGGTTGGTTCGTGATTTTGTTTTTCAGTTTTGAAAGATTTTATGTATTGTTTTCTATTGTATGCACTTTTTTGTTGTAAAAGAAAGAGCAGAGTTGGTCCGTTATAGTTGCGCTTTTCATTTTTATTTTTTTTACTTCCTTATACTTTTTTATTATTCGTAGGTAATACATTTCGGCGACAAGGTGATTCTTGAAGAACCGATAGAGAGGTATTATAATTTGATTTCAGTAACTGAACTCTTTGAGCTCTACATTTTGTGTTCTTTCTGAAATTGGAAACTTCACCTGTGTAATCAACTGCCTCTTTTATAATAATGCGTCCAAACTAGGGAGAAAAAAGTTGTGGTGTGAAGGAGTTAATGGTATTTGCACTTGGAATATTTACGTTATGGTATAACTATTTTGTTTTTGTCAACCTTGTCGATGTATAAATCATGCTGCTTTAACAATAAATTTAAATCTTGTGTTATTTCAGCTGGCCAGTATGTGATTGTTTGATTGCTTTCTATTCCTCGGGATATCCCCTTGAAAAGGCTGAGGCATATGCTGCTTTAAGGAAGTAAGCTTCCTTATTTACCAACTTTATTTGAGTTGTATGTTGTATATATTTTGTTAGTTATCAGCCTATACAATAGTACAATGTCATTAAAATGTTGGATTATGCCACTCTAAAATTTTCTAAAAATACATACAGGCTCATGATCAGTTACTTTCACCCATGACGGTCAAATGCTGGTATAATTATATTATGACACTACATGTATGCTATCCTCTTGACAATCATCTTGTAAAATATTTTTTTATTCTCTGGTGTATTTGGTTGAGACTACTTTAAATATGAGATTTTTTTTTGTGCTTTGCTCATGGATATTTCAAGGGAATTTCTCTGACTGATATTGAAGTTGGGAGGTGTTAATAGTTAATACTGTTATGCACAAGGAACTCTATTTATAAAGATTGATTATTGATAAAGGTATAGCTTCCAAGAAAATGAGAGAAAGAGGGAGAAAGGTAGAGAAAATGGTGGAGGGAGAGATCTGAGATGCAATCTGAACTAGTATTTCATTATTGAAAACTTATTTCTGAACTGTGAACAATTACAACATGTAGTTAGACTGGCTGGCTACAGCTAACATCTTTCAGTTAGAGTCAGTTTTAACTGAATGTAACTATGTAACTGATTTACGTAAACAATAGATGAAGGATTAGCTACTCTAATAAAGATAATATCTCCTTTTTCAATATATTCCTTTATTATTTTTGTCGTATTTTTTTGCTTTGAAAGTTTGGATGAGAAGGTCTATTGATCTAAAAAATGCTCATGCACTGTGATCCAGACCTTTTTTAGTAAATGAACTGGAGCCCCAACACCTACTTCATGACCGAAGGAAAGTATATGAGGTAAGTGTATGGAATCATTTTTTATCTTTTGGGTGTGTTAAAATTTCTATGTAATTTCAAATATGACAAAGCCTTTTTTTTTTTTTGCTTGAATTCTTTGCAATGTGCTATTGGGTTGTATGCTGATAAGTGATAACCCTGGTCCTCATGCAGTAAATCCTGACTTTTTCTTCAAGGATTTGGTATGGGTTTCAAATTATGGCTTGATCTATTTTGTCATTGTTCCTCAGAAGTCTGGTCATTGTGTATTGTTTATAGTGTGAAGCTAAGCCAAGGACTTGAATAACTTAACTTTTCAGTTTGTGTAGTTCAAGTGTTGCTAAGGAGGGGAAAACATAAAAGAAAAAAGAGAAAAAAAAAAAAACCAATTAAAGTTATCTTGGTCTTGGACTGGTCTGTTTTTCATTTCTGTCCCCTCCCCTCTCCTCCCTGGGACATGCATTAAAAAAGTTATATTTCTGTTTATTCTTGTTGTTAATTGTGAATGTATGACCAATTACAGCCCAAATGCTTTATGCTTTTTCTTTTATGATGATAATGTTTTTTAATAATGTTCAATTTTTGGGCTTCAAGCATCTTGAAATGTTTGGAATCCCTGTTCCAAGATATGCCCTTGTAATTCGGGAAGTCCCGCACCAAGAACTGGATTACTTTATTGAGGAAGAAGATTTTGTTGAGGTTAATGGCATGCGTTTCTGTAAGCCATTTGTGGAGAAGCCTGTTGATGGTAAGCTAGTTGGTTGTGTGTGTGTGTGGGTGAAACTCATTTCTTTTCAACTGTTCCTTTCATTTTTCTGCCCCTACAAAGCCTCTCATATATGTAAGGTACATTGCCTTGGCTTGTTTTATTGTGAAAGTGACTCTTTTGGGGTGAAATTCTTTTTATCTTGTTTTCTTTTACTATGGAGCACATATATGTGGAATGGAGACACAAGATACTCAAAAAATCAAATATATTAATATTTTTACACAGCCAATATGGACATTGATATGGATGAAAAATCAACTAAATGTTGTAAATAAGTTATATTCAAATTTATAGCACAGGACAATGGGGAATAGCTATCATCCACACACTATAGTTTACAAAGTGTATGGTGTAAATAATTGTTCATCATTGTGTTTTTTAGTTTGCAAGTAGTAAAATGATTCCATCTTCAAACCACAATTAGTAGCTCTATTTTAATTGCTATTGCATTTGTATGTTGACATTTCTTGAAATAAGGGAGAAATCAACTACATGTTGTCCTTGAATATTTGGTTGAATAAAATAAATATTAAGTAATTCAACGCAGTGTATTATTGAAAAAGGGAGTGCTAGCAACACACTCTTTGTTATTAGTTGAAATTTATTGGGAATCACGAAATCATGAGTGAGACCCATTAAATAGGGAGTGGGAGCAAGATTCACATGATTTTGTGATTTATAATAAATTTCTACCAATAATAAACAGTGTATTTGAAAAGAATGTTAGGAAGTGTGTTCTTAGCATTTTCCATTTTTTAAATAAAGCCAGTTTATTATTTTTCACTGCCCCAAGTTCATTTGTGATATGTCAAACCTGTACAACACAAGTCATATGCAGCTGATTCTTTTCAGAGACTTGCTGGTCTTGCAAGTCTTGAGGAAAATATTAAAGTTTTGACATTATTTGTTACATTGCATTCCCAATATTTTAACTATATTAAATAATATGTCAGACTGTTGTGTACAAATTACATGCTTTTTAGTGAATCTAATACTTAATATTCCACCATACAAGACTGTCTATGCTTCAATATTTATTTTTTGACATTGTTTGCTAACATTATATAGTTGTGGACTACGGTTTAACTCTGTTTTCTGCGTTGTGGCTATTGGTGTCCATATTATCAACTGTCCAGTCTAGGCCTTTGGTTAAAAATGACATTAGAGAAACCATTAAGAAAGACCTAAGTAATAAATATAATTGGCCTTTCCTGGTTTTTGATAGAACACAATGGCACTGTTTTGTTCACATAGCCGATCCACCTTGTGGGATTTCTGTTGGTGGTAAAGTGAAAATTTCATATTCCTTTTCCTTGCTGACTTTTACTAATTTATCATGCTTTGGGGCATAAGGTGATCACAATGATGTATCTTGGATAATATGATGAAATGCTGGTTGAAACCACTTGCATCATGCTATTTCTTTTGCATCACAAGTTAATTGCTGTTTATTTGTTGAAGTACATGAAAATTTATGGGCATTGGTATGGCATACTCAAGTTGTCAAACATGATTTCTGTACCATCTATGAAATGAATGGAAGTTATAATCTCTACAATGCCCTTGTTTTGCAATTATTATTGAATTACACACACACACACACAATTAGAAATATATTTTTTTGAATGTGGTTGGTAATAACTGTTATTTTTGTGCCTTTTTGAAGCTGATAACCACAGTATAATGATATATTATCCCAGTTCAGCAGGTGGAGGTATGAAGGAATTATTTAGGAAGGTGAGCTTTGGGCTAAAAATCCATTCCATTGGCAGGGGGAGTATGAGAATAATATACTACTGTTAAATGAAATGATTAGAAGACATTCTTTTTCCAATTCAAATTGTGATTACACTGTTTTGGTTTAATTACCTGCTGTCTCAGCGACTAACAGAAGGGTCAAGTTTTATTAGATCTCATCTATCTTTGTAATAAACATCAACTTATCGTATACTATCATATTTATGTTTAAATGGGAGGGTTAACTTGGTTGGAATGTTCATGTGCTATATATTGTGGTACGATCTTTAGAAAGCATATATGCTTTATTGACAATATATATCAAAAACATATCTTGGCCTTCTCCTAACAGCTTGAGCTTTGATGTGGTTTGTTTTCAACATGCTCTTGATAATTTATGGTTTTTCTTTCTCTCTTTTATGTGTTATATTACTGATAACTTGATATATAATTATTCAACTTAATCTCCATTTGGGTATTTTGTTATCTTAGGTTGGCAATAGATCCAGTGAGTTCCACCCAGAAGTGAGAAGAGTGAGGCGTGAAGGTTCCTATATTTATGAGGAATTTATGCCAACTGGAGGAACAGATGTTAAGGTTTGGCAATTTTGAGATTTTCTTATGTTCTATTTTCCTTTTTCTCAAAACGTATTTGGAATCTTTCACCATATCTTTTACCATATTAGAATGGTCTCTTAAAATTTTAATAAACAACTGTAGGTGTATACAGTAGGTCCTGAATATGCTCATGCTGAGGCAAGAAAGTCTCCTGTTGTTGATGGTGTTGTTATGAGAAATCCTGATGGGAAGGAAGTAAGTAACATTTCGGTACTTTTTCTCAATGTTAGAGATTATTTTAATACAGTAATTAAGGATATTGTGATATATTATGAGCTGTAAGTTATTATGGTAAATAGGGTAACCATTATTCATTGTATTTATGACTCCTATTATAAATAAGAGCCTATGCTGTATAAATTGGACAATGGATTGTTTCATATGCCCTTGTTCCTGTTCTATCTTAGCATGCAATCTAAATCATGATGAGAGGAAGGAAACACTAATCTGTTAATACCTAATTTAGTTGTGTTTCTCTCTCCAGCCATCCTTTTCCTTTCTGTCTCCACTATGATACACCTTTGGCCATTGCCAATTATTGCTGTCTCTGCCTAGCCACCATTAGGCCTTGGAACACCTTCCTTTGTGCAGCCTACCCCTGAAGTTTTACCCCATTTTGGTGTTTGACATGCCTACACGTGTCCTCTTCCAACCACGCTATAAAGGCAATGAGCATCATTAGAATAGACCGTGGTATTTTTTCAGACATCATAACAGGTTGGCCTGGTATTGCAGCTGTAGTTTGGAATCTGTAGAGAACCATAGAAATAGAAAACTGCAGAAAGAGGCATTGCCTTCCACTGGGCTTGGTTGGTCAGGTAGGTCTGCACATCCATGTTTTCCAACTTCCTTCATAGATGAGGTTGGAAACCATATTATAGAGCCAATGAACATCATTGGAATAGACCTTCTTGACTTTTGTTTGGACATCAACAAGTCTTGAAGGCCTGATATTATGGATATAGTTTGGGATAGACAGAGAACCACAGAACATTTTGCAAAGAGGCATTGACTTGCTTCCACGGGACTAAATCCTTGTTGGTAATATCCTTGGCTTGGTTAGTCAAGTGGTTTCATGGCCTTGAAAACATTGCATACCAGTGTGCAAAACAGTGGTACATGGGACAGACATGCTGACAAAGGTGCATGTGTGGCAGTCTCAGTTGGTGACAGTAGTGGTTGGCTCATTGACAGTTGGGGCTTATGGTCACATAGGCTCTTTGATGAAAGGAGTTGCAATTTTTCATGCTACAGTAGTAAGGAAAAAATGAAAGGGTTAAATATGTTTTTTGTCTCTCAATATACACCAAATTTTGATTTTGGTCCTTATAATTTTTTAAAAAAATTTTAGTCCCTACAGTTTCAAAATTATTAGTTTTAGTCTCTAGTTACAGTTAAATGATAACATAACTAACTTGGATGTTGGCGTGTGTTAGTTTTTTGTTTCACTTGTTGACGTGGTATCTTTATATAGAGCATAATAGGTATCTTTATATAGAGCATAATAGTTAATACTTAATAGTGCATGATAGAGGCGCTAGGTGGCTCCCCTGCGGCAGGGCAAAGCAAATAGTGCTGTGGTTTTGCATAGCAGGAACAGTAGCACAAGTCGTGGCTGTGATAGTGGAAAAGTCGTGGCTGTCCCAGGGCTATCTTCACTTTTCCTCACCAACCTTTGTCAACTCTAATGTCTCTTTACTGGTTTGGAGACTAAAAAAGAACAATGAAAAAAATTATTCGTTTGTGATTTTTTTTTAATGAATCTAAATGACTAGTGTAATACTCAAAGTTAGTTTCTTGGGGAGCATATTATTTATTCACGCTGTCCACATTTTCTTGCCCACAATCTGCCTCTCTTACTGTACCATTTGTTCGAGTGTACTTTGAACATTTAAAAATGGTTGCTTGTAGTTGTGTATGTGACTCCAGCAAGTCCAAGATTTGTGACAGACTATTTGAATATTCTTAGCAAGATGGAAAATACTGTTGATTGGTGCTGGGATAAGCATGATAAGCCACTTGTAAGCTCATATGACTACTACTGAAGGAATTGAATTTTGGAGAGGACACGCTAATGACCTTAATCTGTGATAATCAAACTACTCTACATATTGCCTCAAATCCAATCTTTTTTTAGAGGACCAAGTATAATGAGATAGATTGTCACTTCATTAGAGAAAAGAACTTATTCAGAGATATTATTACTCGATTCATCAGCTCTAATGATCAATTGACAAATATCTTTACTAAATCTTTAAGGGGGCCTCATATTGGTTATATATGTAACAAGCTTGGAGCATGATTTATATGTTTCAGCTTGAGAGAGTGTGTTGAGAATAATGTAAATACGATAAATAAGTAGATAGCATAATCATAAATAGCATGATTTTAGATAGCAAAATATTATTTAGATATCATGTAATCATTGAGCATTAAATAGAAATAGATAGCTTTGCTGTGTATTCCAACACACAGTTTCATCCTATGAAGTTGTTTTTCTCTCTCTCTCAACAAGGACTAAAGATGGAATAAATCTAGATGGATCCCGTCAAAATTTTCATGGCATGGAATTTGGGTGAACTTGTTTGCGATAGTGGAGAATGAAGAGGTGGAAGATTGGTTGGGGAGTCAAAATGGTGTAATTTGAGAGAAATAAGAGAGAATGCTGGAATTCTGTGTCTAAAATCCAAATCAGACCACACAAGGGTATGTGATATGTATACTGGGGAGTGTTAATTACGCCACAATTACTAGTATTGCTTCTCAGTTAGAGCATTAATTGACCCTACACATTTATAGTAGTTGCCAAAATAATATTTCAGGTTGGAATTGAAAGATTTTGATTTTCACTTCTTGTAGCTTGGTGAAGGTTTGTAATTTACTCTGAACCAACTTTTATGCTATAGGAGTGGCCAAATTTTGTAGATGAGTAAGGTGTGACAGTGAGACATAAGTGAGTTACAATCTCAATATTCCCACCCACATATTTTGTTGTACCAAGATAATGCAATGTAATTTTATTCTAAATCATCTACCTCCCCAAATGTGCACAGTTAAACATTGCTTTTGAGATTTTCTAAACTCTTCCAGTCCCCATCCACCTGTCTTTTTTATTCTTTCTAGTTGCCTAAATTAGTTTATCTTTGTTGTTGGTAGTTGTTAAAAAGTGTTTCTTCTCTACTCATGTGAACATCCCATGGCTGTCTTACTTTTGAGTGAAATTATAGAAAGGACAAACATGTACCTCTGCAAAGCAGGACTGAACTGCATGCTTGAAACAGTACTTCAACTTTTATGTTGAAGGATGTTTATAATCCCATTTGGCAGGTTAGGTATCCAGTGTTACTGACTCCGTGTGAGAAAGAAATGGCAAGAAAGGTTTGCATGGCATTCAGGCAAGCGGTATGTTGTATAAATGTTGTAACTACAAATTATTTAAAGATAGTGATTTTTCTTTTATTTGTGTTATTATCTTCTGAAATAGGGTGTCTGCCTCCTTGTTTGTGCAGCTATATTTATTTGCGTACAATATCTGAACCAATCATTAATCATAGTGTGTATTCAAGTATTCGTATTTTATATTTTAAAATTGCTATGCTATTGAATCAGGCCAACTGTCATATTTCTATTTCTCTCTTCACCTATAGCTGCTTGTTCTTTTATTTTGTAGTTACTTTTCCTTTTGAGTGTAGTTTGATCATTAGCTTATAAAATGTGTTCAAAATCCTTTTGCGGATAACTATCTTCTTGAGAAGTTGTATAATGGAATATTTCATAATGCTTTGTAAAATGAATCTTTATATTATTGCAGTAGATTTAATTGGAAATAATGTAGCTCCTTTTTTTATTTTTCCATGGAAATCCTAAGTCAGAATTTAATATTCTATTTTTTCACTTTATCTAACTTCTACAAGATCTGGGATCACGAGGCTGTGAACTAATTATATAGTTAGTAAGATGTAGCTGGGTTAAAGAAGTTTGTGTAATGTTTTATGAATTTGAATTTAATGCATGTGATACACTTTTTGAGGGCACGGTTTGAAATTAATTCCTCTGTATGCAACTAAAAGAAAATAATTGTCTGATCCTCTTCATGTCATACTATATTTTTTTATGTTGCTTGCAGGTTTGTGGATTTGATCTTTTGAGAAGTGAAGGACGCTCGTATGTTTGTGATGTGAATGGATGGAGCTTTGTTAAAAATTCACACAAGTCAGTCTTTGTAATTAGATTTTTTGGGCAGTGTTTTGATATTAGTGGCATGGTTCAAAATACTTTAACTATTCACTTTCTTTCTATTAAATAGAAAATCATAAGATCAACTCCTCCCAACATGATATATATCTTAGTTGGAGCTTTGATAATTGTACTCTTCTATGCTTAGCATATATTGAAAAAATGCTAATTGTATTCTTCTATCCAATTTGCTCAAAAAAAAAAAAAAAAAAAAAAAAACCTATTCATCTATCCATTTAGAAGTCCAAGATCACATTAATTATTATGTTTTAATTACCATTATGTCATCTAGCAACTCTCAAGTAATAATGAATTTCTAGTCCACTATTGAGGAGAGAGGTGAGTAAAAAATAAATAAAGGATATAATAAGAAGCTTAAGAAAAAAAATTTGTTAAAAGCAACATTTTAATGGTTTCCATTATGATTAATATGCATATATAGTTGATTTCTGGACAAGAATATTGCTAATTGCTACACCTATCTTGTTTTAGGGAATCACTTCTGATATGTTAGAGGTTGGAGATTGCATATCATTTTTAATGTTCTATATTTTAAGTGGAAAAAAATTTGTTCTAAATAATACATGGTCAATTTTCATGTGCATAGCATAACACAGTGAAATGAGGAAAGTAAAATGAAATGTTTTCATTTCAAATGTTAAAATTGTTATTTTCTTGTCTCTCATACACCCTGCTTATGAATCTCAAAGACTCACTTGTTTGATATTACCCTAAAAATATTACATGAACAACTTAAATATTCTCTTTTGGCTACACTATTGTTATTTAGTTTCCTTTTTTGTGCCATAGTCATTATGTAGTGATGAAATCTACTTCAAGGAAACAAAATTTCCTATTTCAACAGGTACTCTGACAAGGATTAGAATTTGAAACTCGTATACATGTACTGTAAAGAAAATTTAAAAAACATTTATGCATTTTATGGTAAATTTGCTTGTTGTATGACAACTTATCCTTTCTTCTAATATTTTCTTTATAGCATGCTTTGTTTGTTTTCCAACGCCTTTATTCTGGTGAAAATCACATTATTTTTCCTTGCTGCTGCTGAAGGTATTATGATGATGCTGCCTGTGTTCTGCGGAAGATGTTGTTGGATGCAAAAGCACCTCATCTTTCTTCAGTGATTCCACCAACTTTACCATGGAAAGTAAATGAACTAGTCCAACCTTCTGAGCCACTAACTCGTCAGGGTAGTGGTATTAGTGGCACTTCTGGACAATCTGAGGAACTACGATGTGTAATTGCTGTTATTCGTCAGTATGTGCTACTCCCTTTTTTTATTTGATTTGTTGAATGTGTTATTATTTCTCATATACACTTCTTTTGGATTTTGGCAGTGGTGATAGAACTCCTAAACAGAAGGTGAAGTTAAAGGTTACCGAGGAAAAGCTGCTGAACTTAATGTTAAAATACAATGGTGGCCGACCTAGATCTGAGGTAATACTATTTTGCAGTGCTTCAGTAATATATATTAAGTTTTATTTAATATATGAATTCTTAAACTTCCTTGGTTGATCTATTGGTCTTATGTTTACAGACAAAACTTAAAAGTGCTATTCAGCTGCAAGATCTGTTAGATGCCACACGGATGCTGGTGCCTCGCACTAGGTATTTCACCTGCATTGGCTTCAATATTTATCTCTTTAGCATCACATCCAACTTTCCCTCAATATCACACCCAAGGTTAATGAAATCTCAGACTTTTGTGATTGTTCTGCTACATTTTTAAAACTTTGTATCTTGAGGTTTTCTTTGCTTTAGAAAACAACATGGTTTGGTCAACTTTCTATTTTCACGTGAATGTCATTATGTGCACTTTTAACTAGTGAGATTACAAGAGAAAGTGAAAAGAAAAATAGAAATTACTTATTTTTCCCCTTATGGAAGAAGAGTTTTATCATAGAAGAGGAGAAATACAGAGGCAGAGGAGAAGATATTCTCTTAAAAGGAGACATGAAGTGAAGAATATCAAAATCAAAAGGCACTTCAAGAAGCTAAGCTTCCGAATCATGCTACATGATTTCACTTCAAGAACCCTTAGAGTATCATATTGGCTAACGCCATAAAAGTGCTAAAGACAATTTCATCCCAGGGAAGAGACATGACAGGTATAGGACTCAACCAATAATTGTACATGGGAAATCTTCCTTGGGGAAGAATTCCTCTTGTGAAGCTAAATAAAATTGTTTTTTAAATTTCTTAATATCCTCTGAATCCATGGACACAACCATAGCAAACCAAGCCAACTTATTGAAGTCTTAACATATCTTTGTTTAAATCATTTCCAGTAGCAACCTAGAATTCCTGCCAATTGAAGCAAGTTAATGGAGAAATGACCAATGGTTGCAACCATTATTGATGGCTGTCAGCTTTTTGATTTTGTCTATGTCAAAGTATGAATAGTGCTGATTGAAAATATTGCAATATGTAATTTCAAATTTCATTTTGTTATAAAATTAATATGTCAAGGGTAATCATATTTGACAATTGTTTATCAAAATGACAAATGATTTCAGTAAAAACTTTAAGATCAATAAATTTCAGAAAATATCTTAGGCTGAACTAATTAAATCTTGTCTTTATAGATTTTTTTAGGGTTCTGTTCCTTTGGGGGCATTCAATAGAATTGGTGATGCAGAAACATTTTAAGGTTTTCTTTTCTTTTGTATTTTTTTTTTTGTAAAAGGAGATGCATAGTACAAAACTTGGAACTTGGAACCATTGATTAGCTCTCGTCTTGGGTGACTGGTTTTAGGTTTCTAGGATTTATATATGTGTCTTTATGTCCATGTTCCTAAAATGCTATTAAGTAGGACTCTTCACAATTAGTAGGAGTGCTGGAGGCAACTGCTATGGTGATGAAGTTGAGCAAATAAAAAATTCTTGATAATGTGGTCTCATCACAATAATATCTTGATACATTAATCAGGTTAGCCTTTTTTTGCTTGTAATTGCATATTATAAAGTGAGAATCACAATAATATCTTGATACATTAATCAGGTTAGCCTTTTTTTACTTGTAATTGCATATTATAAAGTGAGAATCGCAGAAAATTAGAGAGTTTGGATACTGAAAATTTTTATTATTAAAAAATTATCTAAATATCTTACACTGTAATCATCCTATATACCTTTGGTCCTTCTTATAAGACCTTTTCAACTAAATCATACAAATTAAGAAAAGTTATTGAAAGTAGTTAATGTATTGGTCTTGAAATATTAATTACAACATTCCAAGTTTATGGCCTTGTCTGTGTAAACTTTTAGAGAAGTCCTTATAGAAGAAAAAAAATTAGTAAAAAAAATGAATAAAACTTCTCTCATAAGTCAAAAATAACTTATCTCTTCAAATTTTAGAGAAGTTTTAAATGAGAGAATTTTTCACAATTTCTCAAAAAATAAAGTATAAATTGTTTCTAACTTATGGGAGAAATTTTATTCAGTTTTTATACTGGTTTTTTTCTCCTATAAGGACTTCTCTAGATGTGTATCTAGTTAAAGTCAAACTCTATTATTAATATTAATTGTTAAAAAGTTGGAAAGGTTCAATAATGAAGGGCAAATATGTGAACAAAATAATACATGCTCCTAAATCTTTGTAAAGAACCTTATATTAAGGGGCAAGAAAAATCTTCAAAAGGTTCTTATATAAAGAGGACTGAAAGGAGTATATAAGGGTGAGAGAGAGAAGCTTCTAGAAACAATTTGTTTCAGATGTCATAGGCTAATACAATCTACAGATGACTGAGCTACATAAAGAGAACACTACTATACTCTAACATTGCATTATAATATTGGTTGTCTATACCTTATAGGCATTATTTTACATATACTAATGATCTTTTTTAGGGACTTGTGCTACTGTTTAAGCAGATAATTGGTTATGGTACCAGAACTTGATCAACTAATACTACTCAACTCCAGTATTATAATTAAGTTTTCCATATAGTGTAGTATATCTTCTGTTGGTTGTTTTGTGCCTATACTTTTGTCCAGCTTTCAAGTTCAACAGGTTTTAACTTTTTCTGGGCAGTGAGTTGTTTATAGTTACGTAAACCAACTCTTGCATAGCACAGTTTATGCTGCATGTCAGGTGATTGTTCTGAATTCTGATAGTGTTTCAGAACAATCACCTGACATACAGAGGAATTGAAAAGCATATTTGTATTGATGTTTTATATGTTTTGCTTTGGTAAATGTTTCAAAGATTAGTAATTCTAAAAGCTTAAGCTTTTTGGCTGATATGGTCTTTGACATGGTATTATAGTTTTCATGTCCTAGCTATCAGGATTTCTATTGTTGCTTCCCACTCTTGAAAAACAACAACCACCAGGCCTTATCCTGCTAAGTTGGTCAGCTACATGATCATGATTTTTTTTTTATTTGGTGGAGGCTAGTGAATGATTTTTATTTATATGGAGGATACCATATTTTCCTCTTTATTTGCATAATTTCCTTCCTTCCTTCCATCGAAACATCCTCATCTTTTCATCTCCACAATCCTTTTTTTCTCCACGCTTGAGGTAGAATGTATCATTCATTAGAAAAGTTCAAAAACTGACTCTTTTTCTGTTGCATTTTTACTTTGCCATTTCAGCATACTAGTAATATTTGTTACCAGCTTTTTAGTCAATATATATGTATGCTAAGCCAGATTTTGAGTTAATTTTATCTTTGTATTTTTTCAGACCAGATCGAGAAAGTGATAGCGAGGCTGAAGATGTTGAGCATGCTGAAAAGCTTCGTCAAGTTAAAGCAGTCCTTGAGGAGGTTATTAATTTTCTTGATAGCGTCTTTTCTATGATACTCATGAGTATGTTTTGTATAATGAACCTGCTAGTGACTGAAATTTAAAAATTAAATTTCTTTTGACCATAAATTTAATTTTTCTTCAATTTCTCCGCATTAACTTATACCCTCCCTTTGATTGTGCTCGTTTTTAGATTTTAAATGAAATTTCAGTTCTATATTAGCTTTCAAATACAGTTTTACTAGGAAAACTTTTCTAATTATAACTACTTTTGGTTTGAAACGCATGCTTTTGTGGTGGCTGAATGAAATTTCTTCCTACATGGCTAAATTTCATGCTGTGTTGACTAGAGATTAGGCAAGAATAAGGGAAACTAGAGACACCTTCCTACATGGGCTGTCAATCATCATCAAAAGTGAAATTAATGATGTTTCTGTTGTGAACATATGGGATATTGTCTGGAGCTGTGACGTGAAACCACAATCTATACTCTAGCATGTTCTTTTAAACCCTGGATAATATGCAGTCTTGGATAAAAGTCTCTTAAATTGTTTCACTTCTTTACTTTTCTCCTCTTTATCAGGGAGGGCATTTCTCTGGCATATACAGGAAGGTCCAACTAAAGCCACTAAAGTGGGTTAAAGTGTCAAAGAGTGACGGAGAAGTTGAAGAACGACCAGTTGAAGCTCTTATGATTCTTAAATATGGTGGTGTTCTTACACATGCTGGCAGAAAGCAGGTTCAGATTAACAGACATATTATAAGAAACAAATATTTCTACTCAGTTTGGGACTGAATTGGATTGTATTGCTATTATTGTTGGGAATAAATAAGAAATTTTATTTAAAATCTTCTTTCTCAGTTGTATGAATTACTTTTTCTTTTTGCAGGCTGAAGAACTAGGAAGATATTTCCGGAATAAAATATATCCAGGTAAAATTCAAATAGCTTTTCGTCAAGTGAATGACATAAATTTAGTCCTTGAATTTCAGCATGTTCTAGCCATCAGTGTATTTCTGGAATTGACTCTTATGTAACTGTAACTGTAAATGACAAAAAAAAGTTATGTTACAGTAAAAAAAAAATTATTGGCCAGCAGTGACTGATTTTATGAATTCGTTTTTCTTAAGACTCTCATGCCAGTACTGAATGTATGCTTTATAGAATTGGCTATTCCCCACCCTATCTCCTTAAAATCTTTCTTTTGACATGCCTGGAAAGTTGAATTAGTTTGTTTTTACAGTAGTCTAGATAGCTGAACTAGCTTGTATTTTGTCCTTGGAATGTGAAGGGTATTGTGCCTAACAGATTTGTGCCAAAGACTGCTTATTCTTGATTTCTTTTTCAAAACAAGTATATACACACTTTCAGTTAACCTCGTTATTTGTTATCGATGTGATCGTGGAGATAACTCATGCTTATGAATGCATTATGTTATATGACCATTATATGTACATTATTTATTCTACCTTTTTTTTCCTGTGGAATGGATGCTATATGTGCATCATGTATTTTACAGCTAAGAATCCTAATTAAGAGAGAATATCAGTAAACAAAATGATAGTTATACAATCACTTTGGCTATACTGGCTTTAAATGTACAACTATACTATGCTAAGAATTTGCTGGTTGTATTGTAACAAACATCTATTTTGCCAATTACTGCTGGTTTTAATGGCCAGCAAATTTGCTCACTAATTCCATTGACATCTATATGACCAACTGGTCAAGAGTTTGATCCTTGTCTTCACTCTTCACCATTCTTATAAAAGTTGAAATTTAGCACAAAGTAGCCTGTTCATTATCAAGGCTTCAAGCTCAAAGAATTCTTTTCTAGGGGTTGTGTTAGAGAAGTCAAGCCATCAATGCGATTTCACAGACAGTTCAATTTTTCAGGAAAGTTAGTCACCAGCAGTATCAATTCTTGCGGATCTAAAACCCTAGAATCACATGCTGTTTCCTTTCCAGCTGTTTTGTGTCTCTCCTTGCCTTGGTACATGAGTCTGGTCAACATTTGATGGTTATGCACTGCTCCCTTTCTCATCTACTCTCCGGGGCCTGCCAACCCTTGAAACTAACATACACTGCATTACCGCAAATGAGGAATTTTTCCTAGTCACTAATATGCCAGTGTGTTAGAGGGCTTGGGCTGTTCTTTCCTGCTGTGATCTCCACGGACTTGGTTTATATTCATTATAGGGATCAGCAAAGCCTTCAATCCAGTTTTTTTTTTTTTTCTCTTTAACTATTCACTCCATGGCAACCATTGTGCATTATTTTCTTCCTCAGTTTAGTGTTCTTTCATATTCAGTTGCTGCAAGAAGATAAAGGAATATTATAAAGGCAAATCTTCGTGTGGTTTAAAATTGCAGGAGAAGGTACAGGACTGCTTCGCCTCCACAGTACATACCGTCATGATCTCAAGATATACAGCTCTGATGAGGGTCGTGTGCAGGTAATGACTATAGTTGGGCTTATGTTAATCAAAAGCAGGCTAATTGGTTTTAATTATTAATGGATAAATTTGTATTTATTTCTTTACATTTGATGTTTGATATCTAGACATTGTTAATAAGCCTAATTTGTGCTTCAGCATCAAATGTCAGTCATTTTATCATGACTTCTTGTGTTAACAGATGTCTGCAGCTGCTTTTGCTAAAGGTCTTCTTGACCTAGAGGGGCCACTAACGCCAATCCTGGTTTGTGTTTATGCCCCTTAAGAAAGTATTTGATCTGTTTTCTTGTTGAATATGTTTAACTGATTTGGTAATCTTTATTGAAGGTTTCTCTTGTTAGCAAGGACTCCTCCATGTTGGATGGGCTTGAAAACGCCAGTATTGAAATGAAAGAAGCCAAGGTTTGTAATGTCCTTGGTTATTTATATTACCTTTTATGAATGCCATTTCTATGGTGTTGAAAATGGATTATGGTTAGAAACAGAGATTTATTGCTCAATATTTAAGAGATGCAAGGATATTGGAACCCATGCTTGTTTATATTTTTTTATTATTGACAAAGTACAAAAGGAAATTTAAAAGATAAAAGGGCAGTATTAAAGAATGTGATCAAATTAAATTGGATAAACATAAATTCTAAGAAACTTTTAGAAATTAGTTTTACCACAAACTAAAACCGATGAATATATCAAATATATCCTTTGCTAATTCTTGATTTGTCTTGAAGGCAAATTATATTTAGGTGATTATTGTTCTATTTTAAAATACAATAACATATCTAATTAGACCATCCACTACTTTCACATTAATTATATTTGATTAAATCCATTAAGAGTTATGTTGAATTGATTCTTCAAGAAACTTAATGTACTTTTGTGATTTAAAATGTCAAAGTTCACCTTTCGATCCTTCCCTTAATGTATGATATCATGCAAATTAGGAGTCTATTAAATTCACATGCATTAAGAGTGCTGAAATTGAATCAAGAAAATCAAAATTAACTTTAAGTCATGGACATATTTAAAATATTGTCATTAATCTTAATTTAGGCTACTCTCAAATCCTAGAATAGAAAATTTACTCAATCATGTCAAAATTACAAACCACAGTCAACAATCTAGACATAGGAATAAGTAATAACAAGAACAAATACAAAAAAAGAGGAAGAAGAATGAGATCTATCAGTCCTTCAGAAATCCTTGTTCTTGAATCCTTAAATGCTTCTTTTGATTATCTTGGATTTCGTTTTTTGATCCTCTCTTGAAAGTCTATCCATGATCATGTCTAATATCTCTCTTTCAGTGAATCCTAAGAAAGTTTATATAGACTGGTTTTAAAACAATTTTGGGCCCGTAAGAGAAAATACAAGAAAAAAGGGCTAACTTTAAATCTGGGTGCAAACCATAGTAGTCAATTCCGAATAGCAGCACAGAGTGGCCAACCTGAAAAATGATATAGCGGGGATAGTGGTAGCGGAATGACCGCTATTCTGAAGTTTTAATACACACATACATGTTGAAAAATATTGTAGAGATTAAGAGAGAGAGAGTATAGAGAGAGAGAGACAGATTAGTGTGATAGAATTGGATACTCTACAATGTGTAGAGACTCTTATATTTATAAAGATACATATGTAACCTTCTTAGGCCAAGCTCGTTATTATAATATTAAAATAAACCCTAATTCTAATATATCTATTCTAACTATTCATAACACTTCTCCTCAAGCTGGAGCATAGATATTAATTATGCCCAACTTGTTACAAATATAATTGCTAAGTGTCCCATTTAAAGCTTTTGTAAATACATCTGCTAGTTAATTGCCTGTCCTAACATGAAAGATGGATATAAGCTTCTGTTGAACTTTTTCTCAAATAAAGTGACAGTTTATCTCAATATGTTTCGTCCGTTCATGAAAAATTGGATTTGAGGCAATGTGTATCGCTGCTTGGTTGTCACACCACAGTTGCATACGCCTAGTACTACCAAATCTTATCTCTTCTAGCATATGTTTTAACCACATTAACTCACAAGTAGTCTGAGCCATCACCTTGTATTCGGATTCCGATTCCGCATTTGATCTTGAAATAACATTTTGCTTCTTACTTTTCCACGAAATTAAATTACCTTCTAAGAACACACAGTATTCAGCAGTGGATTTTTTGTCCATAGATCTTGCCCAATTGGCATCAGAAAACGCTTCTATTTGTACATGTCCATGATCTTTGTACACAATTTCTTTTACTGGTGCTTTCTTCAAATACTTCATAATACGAATTAATGTTTTCTAACGAGTATTCGTCGGAAATGACATAAATTGGCTAACAACACTCACTGAAAAAGCAATATTTGGCCTTGTGACAGTCAAGTAATTTAGTTTGCCTACTAATCTTCTGTATTGCTGTGGATCTGCAAAAGAATCTCCATCTGCTGTCAGTTTCACTCCTGGCTCCATAGGTGTCTCACATGGTTTAGTTCCTTTTGGTCTGGTCTCAGTTAATAAGTCTAAGACATATTTTCTTTGTGAAAAGAAGATTCCTTACTTGGAGTACATGACTTCAATACCCAAAAAGTATTTCAGAATTCCTAAGTCTTTTGTTTGAAATTTAGTTTGAAGAAATTTCCTTAGGTTGCTGATTCCTTCTTTGTTGCTACTTGTAATAACAATATCATTAACATAAACAAGTAAAATACAACCGTAGTTAGTCTATTTGTAAAACACTGTATGATTACTCTCACTCCTCACTAATCCAAATTCTAGAATTTCGTCACTGAATCTCTCAAACCATGCTCTAGGTGATTGCTTCAAGCCATATAATGATTTCTTTAAACGACATACTCTTCCATACTTTTCCTGAGCAACAAAGCCAGGTAGTTGCTAGATGTACACCTCCTCCTGTAAGTCTCTATGTAAGAATGCATTTTTGACATCTAACTGGAATAATGGCCAATGATGCATAGCCGCAAGAGAGATGAAGATGTGAACAGATGAGAGTTTAACAACTGGAGAGAACGTATCAATGTAGTCAACATGATAGGATGATTTTTCCTATCTTAGTTTATTTTTGTATTTGTTGAACAAGATATGATAGATTATCCTATCCTTGTGGTTCAAATTATTATCTTGAGAAGGATGATAGGTTAAAAAATATTAGGATAACTTTTTTTGTGCTATCTTCTTACACATACTTTATGTCTTTTTTAATATTTTATAAAAAATAATTATTCAAAAAGGAGTAAGATCTTTTTATACTAGTATAAGTTTAAAAATTCTTACATTCAATCTAAACTTTTCATTTAACTTACATCTAATGGGTTATTACTTTACTGATCGTTAGATATAAGTTAAATAAAAAGTTCAGATTGAGTGTAAGAGTTTTTAAACTTATATTAGTGTAAGAATATCCTTTCTTATTCAAAAATATAATTTTAATTTTTTTTTGTAAAAAATATTATATGAACATTTTTTAATAAAAAATATTTTTTATATTTATTTTGTAAAATATAATTTTAATTTTTAATTAATTTTTATTTTAAATATAATTTTTTGCCAAAAATAATTAATTGTAAAAAATGGAGAATATTATTATAAAATAAAAAATTTTGTTTGTGATTCTTTTCCAACTTCACAAAATTATTTTTCCAACAAGTGTTGTAGGACTTGTTACTAGACATTGCAATTTCATTTTAAGGATTATTTGGTAGTTGATTAACAATGGAAATTATTTTATTAAGTCTTTTTGAGGCATAGCATAACAAACAGTCGTGTTTTGATAGGATGTCATCATATATTACTTAGTTTGGAATGTTGACATTTGGGACTAAAAGACACATGAATTTTTATGCTTTTAGAAACTAAACAATGAATAAATTTTTATAGGGACTAAAACCAAAACACACTACATTTTGTTTCTGGTGTGCGGAAGGGAATCTCTGATGAAGAAGTTTTGCATTGTGAGACCGTAAAAGCTCCTTAACTCTGTAAAAATTGACCTAAATTTGAAATAAATTAAACACCTTGTTATTATAAGCCAAGATTCTAAAATGTAAGGATTGACATAGTAAAAACTTTACTGGTAAAGTAACTAGAGAAGGGGTCAATCTGCAGGCCGCACATGCAATGACCCATCCAAATTACTAATAACGGGTATCTAGTGCTTATGCACTTCATGCTGCATACATTTTTTTGGTAAGATTTGGGAATCCGTGGAATACTAATATACTTTTTATTTTACTTAATTTTTCTTTTTGTAGGCTTGGTTGAATGAAACTATTACCTCTAGCTCAAAGACAGTAGATAATGGATCACCTGAATTTCCTTGGATGGTTGATGGAGTTGGATTGCCACCCAATGCATCAGAATTACTTCCTGAGTTGGTAATGCTTTGTAAATGTAGCTCTCGAACATAGTTCCTTAAACTACTTTCCTCATAATTTGGAGGGAAGGATAAAATGCATTTTCTGACATAGGGAAATTACTCTGGTTCTCTGAATATGTTTTACTTTATTTTAGAATTTCATGTTTATGCTCTTCAAAACTGGTTTCTGCATTTATTCAGTTAATCACAACTGTTTTGCTATTGATCTCAAATCTCAATGTGATATTTTTTAGTTCAAGTATTAAACTCAGATATTTCTATTGTTACTTGATATAAGTTCTTCTATGTCTATTGTCCCTTGATTGCTGTACATGCAAAGATTAATCTTTATTTGTAGGTTGGTGTTAGTGCAATATTATGGAAGCTAACTCAAAATTTTATCTCTGAAGATTAAGTCCACACAATATTTAAACTTATATGGAGTTCTACTTTAAATTGATGTTCTCAGTGCAATTAACTTGGCCCATATCACTCCTACAATTTCCATGCACCAGGTGTCCAATCTTGAGCATGAGGGAGTGTGTTAAAGTCTTACATTGACTACAGATATGACTAAAGTAGAACCTATAAAGACTACAATAATCCTTACTTTATGCAATAGTTTTCTGGGGTTGAGTTAGGGTTAAACTTTAAACCCAAATTTAAGTTTTGATTTGTAAATAATATGCTTTTCTTCATCCTTCTTTCTTGACAAATTCCTTGAAGTCTTTCCTTTTCTCAGTGTCTTTTCTGTCTTGGTGATCAGTTCCTAACAAATCCCTTGAGAAATAAGTGGAGTAACTGATGAATAATATTCTTATGGAATGACACTTCTTGCCAATGGAATTTGTCATGCACTGACAATCCCAAAAGGAAGAATACTTTGTCAAATGTTGAATTACAAAGATGTGTTACATTTATTCCTTTATTAATATATCAGCACACTGAATTCAAGTGACTAATGCAATTCTCAAAAATCCTTCCTGACTTCAATCTATGTCTTCTCAAGTTTAATTATCATATTTTGGTAAAATTTGAAACTCAATCTATGTTGTGCCTTGTTGCAAATTTTTTAGCCTTGATAAGAGAGGAGGGTCATGTGTGGCAGTTCACAGCCAGCATTTTGTTTGAATCTCTGTGATATTGTCAATGATGTGGTTTGATAGGGTTGGCTTGGTGTTTTTTTAAGAACATGACAGAATTTTGTTGGTATGACAAGAGCTTCTTGTCTTGAGTCTATTAATCCTCTATAATGTTGTCACCATCAAATTCTGCTTGCTTCCTAATTTCCTCTTGTATTACTAGAATGTCAAACTATTGTGAAAATGCAAGTAAAACCAGTCTTTCAAAATAACTAATTGGTAATTGTTCTGTACTTAATTTCTCAATTTTTCCTATGCGCATAGGTAAAATTGACTAAGAAAGTTACTGAACAAGTAAGACTCCTTGCAAAGGATGAAGATGAGAAACTTACAGAAGAAAGCTTATATGATGTAATTCCTCCTTATGACCAAGCAAAAGCACTTGGCAAGACAAATATTGACATTGACCGTATAGCTGCTGGATTACCTTGCGGTAGTGAGGGATTTCTATTGATGTATGCTCGTTGGAAAAAGCTTGAAACAGACTTGTACAATGAACGCAAGGAGTAAGCATTTTCCATTATTTAGTTTAATCTTGCTGCTTTGCTTTTACCTTACTCTATTTCTGATATTAGAAATTCTCACTGTCAGACTTGGTATGCCATTAATATGAGAAAAGGATTAGTTATATACATGACCAAGATTACACCAGAATTTTTCAAACTAGATATTTCTTTTATGAGAAATTTAAACATATTACATACCTTCAATTTAGAATGACATTATATATGTCTTAATCCATGGATGATTATTCTTAAATACATACGTCTACTATATTAGCTCATCTGACTTATTTTTCTTATCAGTCCATATTAATATGGTATGCTTAAATGTTAGTTGTATATTGTAGCATGTTAATTAACTGGAAAAATGCTTTTCACTACAATAAAGGAATTTATGCTACTCCTTTCATTAATTAAGATGTCTTTAAATGTTTATAATTTCAGTTTTTAAATAATATTGTCCAATGACAATTTCATTTATCTTGAATTTGGGCTTTAACTTGACTCAACCCCAAAAGCTAGCTTGTAACTGAGGATCATTGTATAATCTTTCTAAGCTCTACTTTGGGCATATTGGTAGTCAAATTTTGATCTCATCTCAACAATTTACAACGTCATTAATTCCTGTGCCTTACTTGTGTTGCCAATGGGCTTCATTTACTGGTTGTTGCGTGTGTTTAATGGATTAGCGGACACACTGATGATGTCTTTACTTGCGCAGACGCTTTGATATCACCCAAATTCCTGATGTTTATGATTCATGCAAGTAAGTCATCTCTTTTATGTTTTTATGATAATTATGTTGGTGACTTCCAACTATGAATTTTATGCAACATAGCAGTAGGGGAGAGAGATTATGATTCTTCGGTGGAATTGTGTGATGTGATGTAATTTAAATGGACAAATATTTTCATGGCTATCAATTTCTGGGTGCTTCTTCATCGATTTTAAGGGAAATTATTTTATCCAAGAGTCTTTTGTTTCCTAATTGCTATAGTTTTACTAGTATTAAACCTTATATTTTTACTTTCCCTGCCGACTTATCCTTGATATTGTTTGTATGAGAGAACTTAGAAAATTCAACTTGTTTGATTAAGGTTAAATTAATCTGTAGATTCTTGAATTATTTGTAGACTTTTAAATAAGTCCCTATACTTTAAAAACTTATAAATAGGTCCTTGAACTCTTAAATCATTTTTAATTAGGTCTATGGTCACATTTCCATTAAGTAAAACGATCTAATTAAAAATTTTCAAATAATTTAGGGACTTACTGAATGATTAAACTAGTGTCCAGGTCTCTAAACTATTTTAAAATTTTTGATTAGGTCCCTGTACTTCAACAGAGGGGCTGATTTCAATGACCTACTTACAAACTTTGATAGTAGAGGGACTCATTTAAAATTTTCAAATGGTTTAGGGACTTGTAGATTAATTTAACATTTAATTAAATATGGCAAAAGTTTTGTAAAGATATGAACAAATAAGATTGAGACATATGATCTTCACATTCAATTTTATGATGACACTTTCACTTATTGAAGTTAAATATTTAATGTCACTACAATGACAAGTAGTCCACAGCCGAGCAGCCTTGTCCCACTAGATGACCTGGTAAAGGCTGTTGAAGGTTTAATTTAAATTGCGTAGTTTTTATTTTTTTTTATGGTAAGTTCATGTTGATTTATTACAGATATGATCTCTTGCACAATGCACATCTTAATCTAGAAGGACTGGATGAGCTTTTCAAAGTTGCTCAGGTAAGAAGTACGTTGGTGAAAATGATGCTCAACTGAAAATAATTGAACTGATATACAACAGATTGACAACAAAACATATGAATCCATTTTATATACTTGTTTATGACTCCTTGCTGGTGATCATCAGATCATGTCATTTGGTTGTGTAAATTTTATGCTGCGTAGTATTTCTGATATTCTTACGTCAAATAAATTGCTCCAATGGGTTTTGTGGATCATAGATCACATAATTTTCTCACATGTACTGATCTTGTATCCTTTTTCGAAAATAATTACTTTTATAACTGTGCCCAGGGTGAGCATTCATCACAATAAACCTATCTCAAGTAAATTCTAAAACAGTGTTTTGAGCTTAACCTTTTGGAAAGGAACTATATAATTAAATAACTAGAAACATTCCCTGCTTAAACCCCTACACGAACTACTTTCCTCTGTATGTTATCTACTGTTACTGATGAGTTCAATCTCTTTGCTTTCCTAATTGCTCTGCCAAATTATTTGCAGATGCTTGCTGATGGTGTAATTCCAAATGAATATGGAATTAATCCAAAACAGAAGCTGAAGATCGGCTCAAAGGTAAACTCCTGGGATTAGGAGACTCCAGATTTTTATTCAACATTACAAATCTTTGAACAGTTATCTTATTCTTCCCAATACGTAATATTTTCTTCAGTATGGCCACTGCAAAATCTTGTAATCAGCCGCAAGATAAGGAAGTCAATATCGTCAGCATTTATACCTGCTGAATCATTCCTATCCAAATTGATATGAATACCAAAATGAAACTCAAAAACCTTCCAACAACAAAAAATTTTCTAAAACTTCAGCACCCTTCAGATGCAAATTGTAAATGAGACACCTCCAGAGATTACCCTCATCCTCATAAAGAACCTTGATTCACCTCATGTGTTGTTGATGTTGTTTGTGATGTGATGCATTTCTGTTTGTTCCACCATGAATTTCAGGATCAGATTATCCGGGCCCTGGCACTGGGCTTTTAACAATGTGAAGCCTGTGTTCTGTAGCATTCTGCGTTATATGCTGTCTGTTTTGAGGAAGAAAGCAGAAATCATAATGTTTCATGAATCTTGTGCATTGTTTTGATTAATCCTTGACATCTAAGCGAGCAGGGGTTGAATGTCTTGGATTATGATAAGCAAAGGAATCTTTCATTTACTACTTATAGTAATTAGAGAAATACCTCACAAAAGCTTCATCTTCTGCTTGTATGAACGACAGTATAGCCATATCGTGTTACAATGCCTTGATTGTAAAAATTAATAGCCCCATGAATTTCTTTAGTCATATTAGATCCAAATTGATTATCAAAATTTGGATCCATCCTGTATCACCAAAGAGAAGAAACAAACATGTTATGAGAGAAGTCTTAAACTATGCTAGATTGAAGAAATTTATAACTTTGTCTTTACTTGCACGCAGTTGATATTGCCTGAAGAACAATTGAACACATAGTACCCGAATTAAGTGCATTCTTTCTACATATATACTTAAAACTATAGCTGCCTGATTAATTTGTTTTTACTGTTTTAATTCAGATTGCTCGTCGGTTATTGGGAAAACTTTTAATTGATCTGAGGAATACTAAAGAGGAAGCCATTAGTGTTGCTGAGCTAAAGAATAATCATGACCATCATTCATTGTCTGTAAAAGTTGAGAAGGACGATGCAGAGGCCAAGTCAAAACTTTTTCATAAGAATAATGAAATACGAAAATGTAACACTATGAGTGATATACCAATAGATCAAGATGATGATGATGATAAAGAGACCAAATATCGTTTAGATCCAAAGTGAATATCCGGTCCACATCTTATTTTCTATGTTAGTATGACCTACTCTAATCTTATTATTTTCCACCAGGTATGCAAATGTGAAGACACCTGAGCGCCACGTGCGGACACGCCTATACTTCACATCAGTGAGTGTTGTAATTTGTATCCACAAATGCGCTTATGTAAATATGCTTAACTATATTGTATTTAGCCTTGGTTCAAGTTTACTTCATATGCAATTTTCTCAAGATGAAAAGGCTGCTAAGCTATCAATCTTAGTGTTGAACTTAGTTTTGTGGATGAGACACTTATTGCCTTGATTTATACAATCATGTTTGGGCCTTCACGTAAGAACTTAAGCTTTTGGGAGAGTTGGTCTTGACATGGTATCGAAAGCCTCTTGTGACCAAGTGATCAATCCTTGCTGCCCCCATTTTCATAATTAAATTAAAAGTTAAATACAATGTATAATGGGCCTCTGCATTATCCAAGCTTCAAGCCTATAAATGGATCTTGTTGAGAATAATTGTAAATAAATAGGGAATATCTATTTATTATTTAGATAGCAATGTTGCTGGTAAATATATAGCAATGTCTTGTAGTTATTACCTAATATTTTGTAATTATTACCTAGTCATTATAAATAAAGTCATCTATTGTGTATCATACACATGGATTTCACTCAATGTCTCTCGATTTCTTCTCTTCAACATGGTATTTGGAGCCTAGCAAGAGTCAAACCTTAGTCTGTGTTTTAATCAGTGGACCTACTGCCACTGGTGAATTTTTTGTTTTCAAAAACTATAACCCATCTTTGGTTTTGAAGTTTTCTCCTTTCTTTCCTTTTTTCTTTGCCTTCTTTTTCTTGGGTTGAACTGCTACTATTCTGGTCCCACTGCCGTCGCCCAGCATCTGTTGTCATTGGTGACCACATCACTGGCTTTGTCTCACTCAGATCAGTCTATACCCAGCTGCCCTGTCATCAGCGAAGCTGCCACGCACCCTTCAACGGCACTTCTCTCATGCACCAAAGCTTTTGGCAGCATGTGACAACGCAGCTGGTGGTTGTTTTCACCACCGTTTGGCTTCTTGTACTCGTCTCTCCTCTTCCTTCTGGATCTGTCCTTTCTTCATTTTAGTGCTTCGTCCCTCTCAGTTTAGGGTGTTTGCTATTGTTTGGCACTGTTCCTTTTTATTTTTTCTCTCTTCTTTGCTGCTCATAGCATCTTCTGACCCTTCGAAGGCTGAGCTTACTATTTTCACTAATCATGTCACCCCTACACTTTTTCTTTGACTTGTAGGCTTCTCCATGTTCCATCCAAAACACATCCTGAGTTGTTACACCTCCTATCCCTGTTGACTCATCTGTCTTAGTCTCTCAAGGGGGCTACCATGCTCAATTCCATCAATATGAAAATCTTGCCCTACATATGATCATTGCCACAAGTCTGGGCATGCTATTGACAGTTGTTATGCTCTACATGGGCACTTTCCTCACATTGTTCATGTTGCTCATAATACTTTGTAGGCTTCCTCTGATTCTCTCTTGTCAACACCAGCTACAATGATTTTTTGAAATGGTATGAGGATCAAAAAGTTTCAAGTTCCATTGCTTTTGTTGCATACACTGGTAATTCCTTTGTTGGCATCTCCCACTATTCTTCTTTTTGTCCCTAGTACTTGATTTGAGGGTCACCATTCATATAACTAGCAATCAATTCCTTTTCTTTATCCTTTCTATTTTTGAAAATTTACCTTTTGTTCCTATAATGGTTCTCAAATCCAATCTAAAGGCATTGGAACTATTCATTCTTCCTCCTCTTTTTTTTGTTGATAATGTCATTTACGTTCTAGATCTTCTTTTAATTTGTTTTCCATTAGTGTCTCACCCAAACTCTTGATTGCATTGTTATCTTTACTAAAATTTCTATTTTTCTATCGGATTGGAGTTTGAGACATTATTGTAATTAGATAGTTATTTGTAGAAAATACGTAACAGAATACTTTGTAGTTATTACCTAATATTTCGTAATTATAACCTAGTCATTATAAATAAAGCCCTCCGTTGTGTATTTCAAACAAATTTTATTCAATATCTCTTGATTTCTTCACTCTCAACAGATCTTTTTAAGAGGTGGTTGACAGATATAGGTATATAAAAATGTTTGTGGCCTCTTGGGCTATCACCTAACAGCTTAAGCACGACAGTTGGCATTTCAGACTTGCATTAGTGTAATTTCAGTTGTTCCTGTACGTTCTGCTTCCTTTATTATATAGCGACAATTGATTTCTGTAATTTGATAAAGACACTGTCTTTGTTATGAAATTCTGCCGGTGACATTCTTTCTCTGAAGTTAATTATGCAGTATGAATCCATTTGTGTGAAGTTATTTGGTTCATATTGTATTGATTCATTAGATTGTATCTTAAAAATAACAAAGCTCGTATGACAGCTGATTTTGACTTGTCATGTTGAAACCTCAGCTTCAAATACACTTCTAAATAATAAATTTAAACAGACTGATTCATAAAATTGTGTTGAATAGACTTGCTCTGTAATATTGATTTTCATACTCTTTAACTTGCCTTATTTTGTTGACAGGAATCACATATTCATTCTCTCATGAATGTTCTTCGTTATTGTAATTTGGATGAATCTCTTCAAGGAGAGGAGTCTCTTGTTTGCCATAATGCTCTAGAGCGACTGTGTAAAATAAAGGAGCTGGACTACATGAGTTACATTATGCTGAGGATGTTTGAGAACACAGAGGTAGGTCATTTTGGCCATTACCTGTAGAATTACTAATTATTTCTAAGTGTTTGGCATTACATGAATAGGTGAAGTTATTGCAGTTCCTTAGTTTCTAGCACTAGCGAATTGATCCTAAGAGTAAAGTTTACCATACTTGGTGTGAGCTTCGGGATGTATTGTGATGATTCTAAGTGCAAAGAATAACACTGATCATAAGTGCAACACTGAACTAACTGAACTACCAAGTATATTATATTGTCTGAAGCAGTAAGACATTGAAAATGTTATATTTTGTCAAACCCGATTTAACTGGTTATCCAACTGAAAGTTATAATCATTTCAATGTTAGCAACCACAATATTTTGACTGTCATAGCTAGCTTTTCGTGTTATACAATGCAGTTATATAATTACTTTGTATTTATTGAACTTTCCTTTGACTCCAAAATCGCAGGTGGCTTTAGAAGATCCTAGAAGGTACCGCATAGAAATGACCTACAGCCGAGGTGCTGATTTATCGCCCCTGGAGGTAATCATGTTCAATTAAATATTTTGCCGCAAAATATATTTTTGCCTCAGAAAACTAGATGAGTACGGGGTTTACATTATGTTCATTTGCTATTAGTCTATTACCATATCGGGATGATTATGAGCTTTGTCTGAAGCTTCATATAAGTGGAGCGTTAGCTGTTAGTATCATTGCTTTTCTTCCAACTTTTAGCTGAAAACACGTCGCTAAAAGCTTCTTTAGTTTTATGTACCCAATCCTTGCTAAAGCCATTTACTGATATGATGAAATTCTCCATCCAAACAATTTTTCCTACTTGAGGAAAATGAATATGCTAATTTAACATGGTGAACTTGTTTTTTAATAGCTAATATATCTGTCGTGTTATATGGTTGGCAGAAGAATGATGGTGAAACTACTTCGTTGCATCAGGAGCACACACTGCCTATTATGGGTCCAGAGAGGCTACAAAAAATAGGATCATATCTCACATTAGAAACTATGGAGAAGATGATTCGCCCATTTGCTATGCCTGCAGAAGACTTTCCGCCAGCAACACCTGCAGGGTTTTCTGGCTATTTCTCAAAAAGCGTGCTTGAGCGTCTGGTAAATCTTTGGCCTTTCCATAAGTAAGCCAGTTCTGATGGAAAATAGTCAACTCCAACACACTCGTCTTCTCTCATTTTTTTTATTTCACTTAAATATACTTTTGGTCTTTCAAAATATATTATTTTTTAAAATTAGTCCTATTTAAGTTTTATTTGTTTTTAGTTCTAAATAAATGTTTTAGTCCTTGAAGAGGGACCAAAATGCATTATTTTTGTTTTTAAGAACTAAAAATTATTAAAACTTAAATAAAAGCTAATTTTAAAAAATATATTTTCAAGGACAAAAGTATGTTTAAACTTTTCAGTTTTTTAATATAATTGTAAAATCTTGATATCCAAAGCGAGCTTTGGGCTCCTTTGGAAAAAATTTTGGAACAATTAACATCTTCCAGCAAACAAACAATATTGTCGGAAGTAGTAGAAAGCAGCCATTAGTAATATAGTACACTTTCTTTCCCGCTTTGTCAATTTCTTGTATAATTATTGTTGAAGAATTTGTTATATGCTTATATGGATATACAACAAGAAATTAAAAATAGAAAAAGGTATATGCAAAAATATTTACTGTATCAAAAACATTAAACTCATTTAATGTTTTCTGTTTTTTCTTTTGGGTCCAAATGTTTTCTGTTTTTTTGTTAAAAGTATTTATCAGGTGATTTATTTATGGTTTACATTGATGTGACCGAAGCCCGGTGCGATAGGGAAATGATAACTTAACCTGATTCAATAGGAAAAGGATACCCTCATGTTAGTATATTTTTACCCCTCGCGCCTGAACATGAGAGAATCTGTATCCGATTCAATATGCCTCAAGGACATTGGCAAACAAGATCCCTCAATGATATACTTTCCAAAAATTATATTCTAAAAGTGATTGTTTCTTCCAAATATTAAATTTTAGAAGTGATTTTATATCTTTCAAACTTTAAATTCAAAGTCAATTATAAATCATTTTTAAAATTTAATTTTTGAAAGTAAATTTATACTTCTAAAAGTTAAATTTTAAAAACGATGTATAAAAAATAAAATTTGTTCAAAAAATAAATTTTGAAAGTGACCAAAAGGAATGATACGAATAGCATGGGTATATTTAATAGCAATTCCCTAGAAAGATTTTGCACGAACCAGTTGCAATTTGTAGGTTTGACATATACAAAATGAATAATTTTAAATATTCTCACCTTTTATTTTTATAAATCTGTCTAGTCACTAAATTAAAATTATTAAATATATTTTATATTTCTAATATAATAATTTTTTTAATTGTAAATTCATTAAAAAGGTAAATAGAATGATAAATTGATTATAATTTATTGGGGAAGTTTAATTCATTTTATTATTTAATTTTAACTCTTGTAAGTACTTATTAAAAATTTTATTCAAATTTTTTTATAGGTAAAATATATATTATTAGAAAGAGTTAAGGAGAACTCAAAATTCATATATACTGAGAAAAAAATTAATACTTACTTGAAAAAATAAAAAATAAAAATATATTTATTCAAATTATATCTTAGTATTTTTAAATAGTATAAATTTTAAAAAAAATTGTATTATATAATGTTTTTACATGAAAAAAATACATTAAAAATTGTTTTTTTCTCTCTAATAAACTATGTTGTTTATTCTTTCACTGTATATTTAACACAAATTCAACTTGAATACTATTAATAATGCTGAAGAAGGTATCATAAAGTCACAACACAAATATTAGATTGTAAATCATAAGATTTAGGTGTCAAATAAACGTATCATTAAAGTGAATTGCACGTCATAAAAAGATGGTGAACGCATTTCAAAGTTGGCCAGCGGGCGATGTTCCTTTACCAAAGACTCAACATAATTCGTTCTTACCTTTCGAGTAGAAAATTTCTATCCAAATTCTAAACTAATAATCTTTTCAATGACCCATGGTAGGGTGTGTGAAAGTGAAATTCACCAACTTCATACTAATTACTATCCTTGAAAGTTGCATTTACAGAACTCCTGTTTATCAAAGAACCTTTTTGTGAGGCTGATAAGGTTCATCTCCTAACACCAATATTTTAAGATATAGAAATTCATTTATGTCTTTTTTTTTGTGTGTGTTTATTTGCTTTCAATTGTTACAAATTACTGGTTTCATCATATTTTACCTGATTATTTTATTAATATTTTGAGAATACCAAAAAGAAACATCATGCGGAAAAAAGTTCAATTTCTTTTTGAAAGTATATATTCCAAAAGGCTAACAAAGGTGGTAATTTTTTTAGTTCAAATTGGGTGAAAAATAAAAATAAAGTTTTTGAGACAATTTTTTTTAATTGGTGAAAATTTTGTCATTTCTTTAGGAGTGATCATAGTCAAGTAAACTTGAGTAACCCAATATAACTTATACAAAAAATAATAGATTATTTAGTTCAAATAATTAGATATGATCAGTTTCAAAATCAATAAATTTAAATTTCTAAAGTTAATAAATCTGAACATGTTTGGATTAGACATCAAGTCTTATTCCTTTCAAATCAATTAACTCGTTACTATTATTGTTGTAACATGAAACTCATTTGTGTGTGATTGTGTGCACTCTATGAACAAAGATAAGTTAAAAACTAAGAGAGAAAGGTCCCTTTGAAACCCTAGCTGCCACCCTCCACGCACATGCAAACACTGTGTCATAGCATTGCCATGTATCTTGCGTGGAGTTATTATGCATCGTGCCATCATGCCTCCCATCATCAGCGTTTTGTACAATTGCCATCTCCCAACATTGATGCTTCTCTTCGATCGCCTCAATTAAATAAACTCAAAACAAACAACATACCTCACAAATGGAACTGAAAATTGCAAAAACTTTACAACTAGCACTTTTTTCTTTTCCTTTTATTATTATTATTTTTGGAATGTAAATCTGAATGCACAACCCAAATCAACTCATTCTTGATTGATTGGTTTGAGTCATATGGTAAGTATTGCGCAAATTTGATTTAATCCAGTTTATAATATTTTGAGTTCAATTTAGGTATGTTTTTAAATAAGTTTTTGTAGGAAAAAATTAATATAAAAATAAAAATTCAACTACGATGAGTTATCAAATTTAATATGAATGAGTAACAATTTTTAAATGGTTAGATGTATTTTAAAATTTATAAACAGTTCAAATCTTCAACCTCAAACTTAATGATATTAATTTTTATATATTTATCATTTAATTTTCTATAAAAATTTTCTTTGAACCTTTAAAACCTTTTATTTTATATCTTCAAACCATGTTATTTTCTATTTTCAAACATATTATTTTCTATCTTTAAAACTCTATTATTTTTTTAAGCTTTGTTTATGTGTATCTTATATCTAGATTAAAAAAGTATATATTTACGTACATTGATGTAGTTTCGATCTATAATAAAAAATAACTTTTAAATCAATAGAATGCTGAATATAATTTGATGTTTTTAGAGTTTTTCACAAATCTTATGTACGAAGTTAATAATTCTAAGAATTTAAACTTTCACAATTATGATTCATTATAAAAATGAGTTTTTGTATTGATAGATTGTTTAATACTCTTTTACATTCCCTCCCTACAAAATAGCCACTTCTACATCGTATAATTTCTGCAAATTTTGCTTGAGCTATTTTTTCTAGCTTAAGCAAGAATTACAAGGAAAAAATGATTCACTAGAATAATTTCGCTTAATTCATACAAGATATTATATTTCTTGTTTAAGCGAATAATATTGGCTTAAGCAAATATAATGCTAAGAAAATCCTTACATTATAACCTATTTTAGCTTAAGTCAAAGATTGTGGCTTAAGCGAAATAACATAGAATGCAACAACTATGTCTTTCAAATTTCATTATATTGAGCTGTGTTATATTTTGATTTCATAATTGAATAGATATATTAATAAAATTGATTATTTCATTCAATCCTCTTGAAGTTTCTTGTAAACCAAAACTAAACTAAGTTTATCTTTGGGAGGATAGTCAAGGGATTAATTATTTTTAGGTTTAAACATGTTATTAGTCCTTATAAATACAGTGTATTTTGTAATAAGTACTTATAAAGTTTTTATATTAAGATTTAGTGTGTAAAATGTTAACATGTTAGTATTTAGTCCTTGTTGTCAACATCTTTTATGTTAACTCATGACCTTTCACCTTATTATATTTATTATTTTTATAGTTGTAATAATGAGTTAATTGATTAACAACAATTATTGACTTTTTATGATAATTGGGTTTAAGCTTTCAAACACTTTTGCTGAAATTATAAAAAGAATTATAAAAGGTTCAATACAATTCCAAAACATACTAGTTACTATTAATTCAAATTACTTTAACAAATAAAAAAATTGTTCTTCAACAATCATTTCAGCTATGCAATTAAATTTTTGAATATTGAAATGTATGCCCAAATTGAAATTATAATAAATAATCAAAAAATTATAAATAATAAGAAAATTTTACTTTTTATACTCTTCTATTTTGAGTTTGAGATTTTTGCATCCATAACATATGACTTAGTTGAGTAATCTAATATCAATTAATTAAATTGCATTTGGTTGGACCAATGGTATTTTATGGTGATTAACAAATGTAAAAAACTATAAATTTTACTTTTAAATTTAAATTTATAGTTTATGTGAAGATAAGAATGAGCCCATAAAATAAAGTAAGTAATAATTTGTCATCTCATTTAAGCAAATGATAGGGATTTACTAATTCGCTTAAGCTAATAATAATTTGCCTAAACTAATAATATTTCTTAAGCTAATGATATACCGCTTAACCTGATGATATTCTTCTTAAGCTAATGCTATTTCACTTATGCTAATGATATTTTGCTTAAACTAGACTTTTGGCGTTTAAGCTTATAAAAACTAGCTTAAACCAAATAAATATAGCTTAAGCGAAATAAATCTAGCTTAAACAAATGATTTTTAACTTAAACTAAAAATATCGCGCATAAGCTAATTTTAAGTTAAAACTTTAAGTTATGTTGCAATACCTATTCACTTAAGCGCATGAATACTAGTCGAAGAGAAATTGATCCAAA